TATATATATATATATATATATATGTATGTGTGTGTATATGTACATGTGTTATGATTATTTCAAAGTTTATGTTGCTTAGTAATTTCCCGACTATATAAATATTTATTTTTATTTTCAAACACGCGATTACAATACATACGAGCTGTTCGTCTCTGTATATAATTTGAATTACATTTCGTGTTCTACAAAGTTGTAAAAAGGTATACGCTTAATCGATATATCGCATACAAATTGTAATAAATATTAAGTATGTGTAATTCGTACAATTTCATTCATATCAGATAAGTAGACCGACAATGTGTCAGGGAATATTAAAGATTTTATACAAGAACAATGTCACAGCTATAGCCCCGATGGTAATTAGCATTGAATATGTATTTTTTACCGTTGCGTTGCATGGCATAGCGTTGTTTGCAGGCTGGCAGGCACATGCTTCAATAGTATATCCTTCAGTCTATATATTAAAACAAAAAAAACCATTCTTTATAGAATCCACATAATCATGTATTTGTGTCTCATTGCCAAGTAACGCTGATTTGTAATCACACATGTGATTTTATATAAATTTCATTGTGAATAACTTGTAATACATACATGTTGAGTATAACAGCCTGATGTAACCGCTGATGTCTGATCTTCGATGACTTTTCCACAAAAGTAACTGACATTCACCTCTGCAAATAGTATTCTACATTAGTAACATACACTCCGACCGTAAAGTGTGAGTCACATCTTTTTAGTTACTTTATATAATATGTAGTTTTACCTGCTTCATTGTAAACGTATGTATATTTTATACAAACATTATCAGAATTCAAATTGCAAAAGTAATTGTAGTAAGGTTTTTCATTACGCCGCTCCCATATTCTAGTCGTGTTTGGTTTTATAGTGCCTGAAAATTCGCATATTAATAACTGATTAACGGGCGAAGTGGCCAATAATCTACGAGTCGAAGATGGAAGTGACTTACTGTTATGAAACGGTTTCACGCAAGGGATATTTTTAGGGCATGTCTCTTCACACGTCTCTTCATTCTTCTCATTGTCGGTTTTGTTACACGAATTACCCAAATTACTTGAACTTCCTCGCCATGTAAATTGGAAGCAGGTCTGTGCGCCTAATGCTAACATGAACAATAGATATTGTAATTAAAGATGGACCACACGAAATGTCGATAAACCTGTGAAGCATTCAGTGAACCCAATTTAACGTGTTTAACATCGTTCTCTCACCCGCACAGTGTGATGTAAATTAAATCAAATTTCCTCTATATTTTTATATAATAATTTTTATGTCCGATGTGTGTGTGTGTGTGATTACGATACTTATGATGCAAACCGTCTCGGTGTATATGTACATACACGCGCATATAGACGTACATATACGCTTAGGTGTTCTTAACGATCAATTCTTATCCGCCGATCGTCAAATGAGAAATTGACAACGGCTCCGAAATAACTAACGAGCTTTGAATGAATGTAAACTGCTAATAATGACAGCCTGAAAGCGCGCTGTCCGGCGTTACTCGGTATTTGTATTCTCTCAGTGTGCAATATTTATAAGTATCGTCGAGACATAACGTCGAACACACGCTTGTAAAGGTAAATAAATATGTCGCTTACCCAGAAGTATATTGTAACTATAAATCGTTAGTATTATCACCGCCCAAATTCTCTTCATTTTCGTGTGTGTCTCCGCGTGCTAAAACGCACGCAACGGGATCTCGGATATTACTCACGTTAACACAACGATATTCGGGGCTTATCTGATAAATCGTCATGCAATGACAGTCATATCCTAGGTATTAGATTGTCGGACAGTCGTTATCAGCATAGCTCGGCATCACATAGCTGATAAAATCAAGGATATGAATTAATGTTTTTCTTTTCTTATCTAAAGAGAACAATGGCACGAGAGTTAATACAATGACAATATCAAAAGTTTATTGTAACAATGGCTAATTTCTTTACAATTTTTTGGCAGATACAGCATCTCATGCATTTCCCCCGACTCTCTTCTCTATGCTCTATTATATTTTTTTTTCTTGTTAAATTATATTATCTCTATTACATATCTACATATTCTATATAGATGTTAATAATGTAAAAAAAAACATAATCATTAGAATAAATGGATAAATACTCTCCTTACATGATTTCTGGCTTGAAAAAGTTTTAAGTAGATCGTTATAAGTAATTTGTTCGATAGTAATTTTTTATGAGATTACATCTCCTCAAAATTCGTCATGCCTCGCCAACGCCTCGCCGAAATCCGTCGCCTGTGATCCGACGAATATATCGTACTTCTCCAAAATCTCGTCCTTCGTAAGTTTGTGATCCGCGTCTGTGTCCGCTTCGTAAATTAAGTGCCGGGATTCCGCCTCCGCGTGATCGAATTCCGCGGGGATGATCCACGTTTTCACCTGTTTCGAGTCGGAATTTGCATTCAGGTATGAATCACCGTTGTCGCAGGTCAATCGATAATTTGAAGATGTATCATTTTTCATATTATTTTACTATAGTTCACTATAGTATACGTGTTGTGCACAGCAATCGTGTAAATAGTACCAAAAATTTGTAAGGACAACTGACCTCATCAGCATTTAAAAATCCATCGCCGTCCTTGTCTCTGTACGAGGAGAACTGCTCCTTTTCATTTTTCACCCATTCCGGTTCCTCCTCGCCCTCGTTGCCTTTGTACATGTCACCTGCAGGCAAGACATAAGTTTACGGTTGGAGAATCACCTGAGTCCATTTTTAGAAACAACGATGACTTCCCAAGTATAAAGCTCCGATTACGCATTGAACGATTCATTGGACGGTAAAATGTTTTCGGTACATTCACGATACCCAATAGAGACAATTTTCATCCTCCCTTTATCAATATTAATATGTCGAGAAATATTAATATTTAAACAGCACCAGATCATCTTCCGTGCTTGCTCCATTATTGCCTATAATTCCTTGATGTTTATTATTAATAACTTACCGATATATTCCGCAAGGGATATCTTCCCGTCCCCATCCTTATCGATATCCTCCATCGTCTCCAATACTATCACATCCTTCATATGTTCTGCCTCTTCGGCGTGAAGGAAGGCGGTAAATTCCTCCTTGGTCAGAGCGTCATCGCCGTCTAAATCAGCAGTGGACCACCTCCTGCGGTCTCTCTTGAGCATGGTAAGGTATGAGAAGGTATCATCATCCGACTTGTCCGGCCTTTCCCTCTCATGCTCGTCCATATCCCCGTAAACCATGGCCCTGTATTCTGTCCACGTCAGTTTCTCTTTCCCTTGTCGATTATGAGACCTCCACTGACGCTCCACGTCATCCCTAATGTAACGTTGTTGCGTATACATTATCCAATCCTTGAGTTCCTCCTGTGTCACATAGCCGTCATTGTCCTTGTCAATTTTGTCGACGATTATCCCTAATCTCCTGATGCTTTCTTCGGGAGAAAGTTGATCAAAGGTCTTAGCTTCTTCCCCGAGGAAAGCCTCGTGATCATAAGCTGGATTGTGTTGGGAATTGATATAGTGATCTTCATTACTCACATCCTGAAATATAATTATATATATTTATATATCTCAAGCGCGTGAAATATAATATAATATATTTATATATCTCAAGTATATATTAATCTACTTAATTAAAATCTTATTTAAGTTGTGCGAGTTATAATTTTCATTATGCTGTGATAAGAATAATGCAAATCTCGAACGTATCGAGTGTCACATATATCTACTTTTCAGACGATTGAGGAAAAATTACACCGACAGAATGAAACCTTCGTTTAATAAACCGTATAAAATACAAATGAAAGTTTCCAGTTTTTTTCCCCCTAACCTTGCTCAAAATGCGATGTTCGTTGTCCGGCTTCGGGATCGCCGTTGCCAGGATGGAGAAGCCGATTAGAATCTGGAGGAACATGAGTTCTCGCATTCCACGGAAGCGTGCCGGTGTGAATGAGGAAAGAAAGCACAGGCGCAATAAATCGCGAGAACCGGCCGTCGGAGTGGAGACGTTGCCGAGCGTCAGGACGAGCGATGTTTTCCAACGGGGACACGAACAACGACGAGGCCTTTCCTACGAGTCTTCAGCTTCCACATCAGCACACTCAGCGAAACCGAACACCACACCCCCACTTCTTCTTAATTTTACGCTCGTTATGCGAAGCAATGCCGAGGCGCGTCCATGGACGCTTGTCGGACGTTCGGCGGTCGGATCGCCCCGCGAATCCACAGCCTCCACGTGGACCGTCAATCAACGACGATAACCAAGATTGGAAAATACTATTAGAATAGTCTGGCACTTTCTTCCACTCCTTATACAGTTATGTCATGTATAAAATTGTTATCAACGAAGAAAATCAACGAAGAAAATGCATATTTGATACGATTTAATAATCGATAATTGATATGAATCTGATGTGTTAATTGATACGATTTTCTCGAGATGCGAGTAAAGTTAGAAATAAGAAATGGAATTAAGAAGGATTGTCAGGTCGGGGAGTTTGAGATCTCTGAGAATTAGTTTTTATCTCACTTGCGGTGTGATTAAAATACTTTATTCGAAACGTATATGCGCTTTATGCAAACTATTTGTAACAAGTGACTAGGAAGAGTTTAATAATAGAAAAAAACAATAGAAATCAATGTATAAATCTCAACTTACATTCGTTCGCTCTTTATTTTGTGGAAATTATATCGAAGGCAAGTTTTGTTACAAATATTTCAAGAGCATTGTTATTCAAAGGCATTCCTCATATGTGTCAGTTACAAAGATTATATTTGGGAAACTACACGAGATAATAGCAAACAGTCCTTTTATAATCTATTTTCTATCTCTATTTTTATAACATTGTTCCCTCCATTTTCTTTCTCTTTTTAGGTATTCCAGTCTCCCTGTATTCCTTCCTTTCCGCTAAATATTGTTCTGTACATTCTTTAATGAAGTCATCATTGAAGTACCACTCTCCCATACATGCCTTCATATTTTCGTTTACTTTTCTACACTTGTAGATCATTTTCCAACTCCACTTTATGCAGCATTCGTTAAATTCTGCGGAAGAAAGACAACAAATGTCACGTATCTCATTCATGTCGACAATAAGAGATAAACATTAACCGTTAAACATTACCCTTAACTTCGTCGACACATTTTTCTGCCTTGGTTCTGTCTCGTATTATCTTAGGTATCAAAATATCCTTCTCCACCTTCCTCAAACTCCGGTCATTAGGATCACCTGGTGATTATATTGCAAATACATAAATACGCGCGAATTTTCCCGAAATCACAAAGAAACGTGTAAAATATAGCGATATTTATTTTCCCGTAACCGGCTTAGAAGCAGAATCTCAGATCTCTATTATCAGCCGAGCTCTCCACTTGTCTACTTTCCGCTTCAATATAACCTATCGTTGAGAGTTTTCAATTTCCCGTAGCACTTTGAGAAAGCGACAAATTTACTTTTCTTCTCTCGCGACATTTATTATCTACGAGACGCGAATTAAGAGAAGAAAAACAATTTTACCCAAGCCCTTAGGTCCCCCTGATAATTTGGATGGGTGAAATTTGTCCTCCTCCTCTTTCATTGTGACTCCGTTGTGACTCCAACGGAGGTTCCCGCGAAGGTAACCAACAGACTGCGCTCGTGATTGTGCACATTTGAGACTCGTCAGTGGCGCGAATGTTCGTTCAGTTTGTCGCGACAAGAAAGGGATCCCGTTGGTGAGGACGAAAACATTATCGTAAGAATGTGTTCCGCATCTTAATCGAATCGTAAAATTGCTCGATAATTTCCGAACTTTCGAAATATCCGAGATACACCGTAGCGTACCTTTTCTAACCTCTAAAATCTGTCCGCGGTACGATGACACTTGGAATTTCGTCAAGTCCATATAGATAATCGTGCGCGTCCTTTGCGTGTGTCCGCAGAGTATAAAGCTCGATTGATACAGCGAGATGGATAGACTGTTACGATTAGGCGGCGGAATGCCAGGTCTGAGTCAAGGACCGCCACCTTCTGACGCACCCGTCGTGGATACAGCTGAACAGGTATAATTCGTTGAAATTACTTGTATTTTTCATTTCCTTGCATGCCCCTTTCTTTATCGTTTCTCTTTCCTCAACAGGTATACATATCGTCCTTGGCCCTTCTGAAGATGCTTAAACATGGTCGTGCCGGAGTACCGATGGAAGTGATGGGTCTGATGCTGGGAGAATTTGTGGACGATTACACCGTCCGTGTAATCGATGTCTTCGCTATGCCGCAAACGGGAACGGTAGATATTCCAGTGTGGAAAGTGCACAAAGTTTGTTAAGTATTTATATGCTACAATATGTCTTCCCATTGTCCTCACAGGGTGTCAGCGTAGAAGCCGTCGATCCGGTATTCCAAGCAAAGATGTTAGACATGTTGAAGCAGACTGGTCGGCCGGAAATGGTAGTGGGCTGGTACCACTCTCATCCGGGATTCGGCTGCTGGTTGTCCGGAGTGGACATTAACACCCAGCAATCCTTCGAGGCCCTCAGTGAGAGAGCAGTAGCCGTTGTTATCGATCCTATACAATCAGTAAAGGGGAAAGTTGTTATCGATGCATTTAGACTGATCAATCCTAACATGATGGTGAGTGCGATCTGTGCTGTGATCGTAGCGCATTCTCTGCTTACAACAATTGGTGTTGTCACGACGATGATCGACAGGTTTTGGGACAAGAACCGAGGCAAACGACGTCGAATTTGGGCCACCTGCAGAAACCGTCCGTACAGGCGTTGATACACGGATTGAATCGGCATTATTACAGCATTAGTATTAACTATCGTAAGAACGAATTGGAGCAGAAGATGCTGCTGAATTTGCATAAAAAGACATGGATGGACGGCCTTACTCTTGCGGAATATTCGGAGCACAGTCGGCTCAATGAGAACATCGTATCTGAAATGCTCGAACTTGCGAAGAACTATAACAAGGTAAGATGCAATGTACAACAGGTATCTTTGCAACGTTGTACGTACTAATCCCTGTGTAACGAATATTTCCAATACTCTTGCGTCACAATGATCGATGAAATCGGCATTCTCTTCGCAGGCTCTGGAGGATGAGGAAAAAATGACACCCGAACAATTAGCTATAAAGAATGTAGGCAAGCAGGACCCGAAACGACATCTCGAGGAGAAGGTCGACACGTTAATGGCTACAAATATTGTTCAATGCTTGGGAGCTATGCTCGACACGGTTGTATTCAAATAACTGTTTTCCAATACGTCACTCGCAATATGATATTTAAAGGAAATATAAGTCTTTTTAAAATAGAAATATATGATATTTTGTATTCCTGATTCATATAACATCAGCATAAATGACTGGAAATATGTGTATAATAAATTCCACACGTTTTAATTGAGAAATATTATCATCGTCTTTATAAATCTGATAAAATTATTGGATCACGCACGTTGTGCACAGCATGATATAACAAAGAATAAAATGTAAAATATATTTCGCATAATTAAGAAATCTGTAATCAATACAAAAGATATATTGTATAAGTCTATTAATTGTAATTGATACATGTGGAATTTGTGTAATAACACTCAAATATAAAACTATAATTATATCTTTGCAACGATAATTTTTTGTACAAATTAAGGTATACTAAATTATATATCTTACAAAATATGTATATATATACATATATACAGTTGGAGCTGTAAGGAAATCAACGAATTGCTGTACAATGTATAAAAATATAATCTTGACATAATCATGCATCTAAATTTGTGCAATTATTTTTCGCTACAACATGCCACTATAGTGGTTCTCTTCTGTATCATGTATTAAAAGTCAAAAGCTAGCCTTCGCCGTGGAATAATAGCTTTACTTATTTTAATAGCGTCCATACCAATATGTAGACGATATGGTTGGGAATGCTGTCATTATTTGATGATACATCAACGAAATATCTATATGAAATAGCAGATGTCAATCATACTATTCATTTCACTACGCATGTTTATTAACGCTGTAGCCATGCATCCAATGTAGTCATGGTGAAAAGGTTAGTAATTACACATTTCACGTAATAAGTCATATTTAATCTTATGGTTAAACTGGGACAAAATGGCCAAACAAAATATTTAGGTTCCGAAAACCAGTTGGGTATACTAATGTGTAAATTTTTATTCTAAAATTAAAATTCCCTCTTGTAACATAAGTTCTTAGCTCGATTCAGGTTTTGATCTATTTTTCCTCTTCCTTTCTTTACAGATATCCTGCAATGTGTAAACATTATGAAATTATATATATATATATATATATATATATATATATATATCTGATTTTGTCATTGTCTAATAATAAAAATTGATCTAACCATCCTATTTACACCTTCCATCATTGTCGAATTTTTGTTTTCTGCATACTACGCCCTCTTTCTTTTTTTCTTTCCCTCATTTTCTTTTTTTTCAGTTTTTAGTTCTTGATCTATTTCTTCTCTTTCTTTTTTTACAGAGATATCCTGCAAATCTATTTCTTCTCTTTCTTTTTTTACAGAGATATCCTGCAAATCTATTTCTTCTCTTTCTTTTTTTACAGAGATATCCTGCAAAGCATAAATATTATGAAATTACATACGAAGTGTGTTCAGAAAATAACGGGAATTTTCGTTTTTTAAAAAAAATATTTATTTATTCGTCTACATTAATGTTGTCGCCTCGATCTTTGGGATAGCCTTTAGCTCTTTCAGCGATGCGCTTTTAATGTCATCTATGCTTGTAAAACAACGGCCCTTTAAGGTTCTCTTCATTTTTGGAAATAGGAAAAAGTCACACGAAGCCATGTTTGGCGAATATGGAGGTTGGAGCATCGTTACAGTATTGTTTTTGGCCAAAAATTCACGAACAAGCAATGAAATGTGAGCAGGTGCATTATCGTGATGCAAAAGCCATGAATTATTTTTCCACAAATCCGGACGTTTTTTTCGGATTGCTTCACGCAAACGGCGTTGAACTTGTAGGTAGCACTCCTTATTGACCGTTTGACCTCGTGGCAAGAATTCATGATACACTATGCCATTAAAATCGAAGAACAAAGTGAGCATAACCTTCACGTTCGACCGCACTTGTCGAGCCTTTTTCGGTCTTGGCGAGCCAGAATGCCTCCACTGGGACGATTGAGCCTTAGTTTCGACGTCATATCCGTAAACCCATGTTTCGTCACCTGTTATAACACGTTTCAGTAATTCTGCATCGTCGTTGACTTCATTTAGTAACTCCTGAGCAACTTCCATTCGCCGCTGTTTTTGTTCAAAATTCAACAATTTTGGAACAAATTTTGCTGCCACGCGTTTCATACCCAAAACATTAGAAAAAATTTCATGGCATGAGCCAATCGATATGCCAACATCATCAGCGACTTCTCTGATTGTGATTCGGCGATCGTTCATAACCATTTCTTTTACTTTTTCCACGTTTTCATCGGTTGTTGATGTGCTGGGGCGTCCGGGGCGTTCGTCATCTTCAACGTCTTCACGGCCATCTTGGAAACGCTTATATCACTCGTAAACTCTTGTTTTACTCATAGCAGACTCACCATAGGCCTTTGTTAACATTTCATACACTTTGTTACACTTTATTTCATTTTTTACGCAAATTTGATACAAATTCTTTGATCCATTTCTTTTAACAAACGAAAATCGCCGAGCTCATAAAAACACGTCTAACCTTAGCGGCTGCCACAGACAAAGTAAACAATGAATACAGCTGAAAATTTTATCATACTTCAGGGGCATGTATACCAACATAATAAAAAAAATTTTTGACGATCGGACTCTCCAAACCCGCGAAATTAAAAAATTCCCGTTATTTTATGAACACATCTCGTATGATTTTGTCTACATCTAATAATAAAAATTGATCTAATCATCCTACTTACACCTTTCACCATTGTCGAATCTTTGCTTTCTGCACACTGCTTCTTCTTCTTTCTTTTCTTTCCCCTACTTTCTTTCTTTTCATCTTTTGGTGATAATTCTTCTGGATACTCAGTTTTAATGAATATTTCTTCTGGTTTTACGATTTTCTTCACCATTTCTGGAGTCGTCACCTCATTTGGTCGACCACTGCGATGCTCGTCTTGGCAGCTCGTACGGCCTCGTTTAAACTCTGCTACCCAATATTTTACTGTTGTAAACGAAGGAGCAGACTCACCCAGAGTAGAATCCAGTTCAGCTTTTATATTGGTTGGGCTGAGGCCTTTCAAATAAAAGTATTGTATCACATAACGATGACCAATTTTCTCCATTTTCACAAATTCACTGAAAACGTTCACTATTGATGACTGCCAAACAAATACTAAACAACGTGATGTCTTTAAACTTGAAACATATGCTTTATAGATTGTGTACTTTCTAATATTGATATTTAATAGTGATATTTTTCAAACAACTACCGCCATCTTTAGGTCAGATCGGGTACTTCTGGGACCATCTTCGTATAATTACATCTGTTATGTCCATTTCACTTGTATCATTTTTATTTGTTTCACGTTTATCCAACATTTTCAGTAATTCCAAGGCTTTTAACCTTTAGAGGGCCGGGATTTGAAAGGGCATATCCGCCTTAGTAAAGTGGTAAAAAAGGTATCTTATATCATGGATTGACCATACACTAAGTATCGATCATGGGTAGCGCCAATATATTGGCTTTCCGGACCTCTAAAGGTTAAATGTCGGACGACAGTCGAATGACGGACGTTGAATCTTCCCGCAATCTCTCGAATTGTCAATCTCGGATCCGCTTCAATCATGTCCTTCAAAACGGCATCGTCAATCGGGGGTTCGTGCCTGATCTGAAATAACAACTTACGGAACAATCGTTTTTTCTGCTTTTGGAGTTTTCCCATGGTGCGTAAACGTTTAGAAATAGCCATAGAAGTAACATTCAATACTTTTGACAATTCTTCGAGTGTTTGAGTTGGATTTTCATCCAATAACGCTAGCAATTCGGCGTCCTTAAACTTTTTCGGCTGTCCGGAACGTTCTTTGTCTTCCACATTTAAATCACCACTTCTGAAACGTTGAAACCACTGTCTACATGTTCTTTCTGATGGGGCTTGTTCACTATAAGTTTCAGAAATTAATCGATGCGCCTCAGCTGCAGTCTTCTTCATATCAAAGTAATGAAGAAGCACATGTCGAAAGAACCATTTATCACGATTCATTTTAAATCAATTAAAAAATTCCCGCTTTCACAAAAATTAACCTTTTTGAATATTATTAACAAGTATCTAACCTTCAAAAGACAACAAGTTTCGGAGCTGTCAAAGCATATCACTGTGGTCTCCTACTGTCAGCCAGTGGTGCAACCTACGTGTTTAACTTTTTCCCCTAGCGTTACCTAGATCTAGTGACTATGGTCATATATTTGTAAGTTGTCGGTACCGAAAACACTCCGTCGGTCTACAATAAGTATTTTAAGCTTTAACCCTTAAGAAATTGACCAATCACAGTTAATTATTATCTTCACATTCGACTGTGATTGGTCAATTTCTTGCGGCTTAAGTCTTAAGATATCTATTGTGGACCGACACTAATAAGTGCGTTCCATATGACCAAGCCAGACTAAGGAACGAACGAAGAGCGTATTCATAAGTTAGGTTGTACGTTCTACACGTGAGAAACACGTTACTACTATCAAATATGGGCAAGAAAAAAGGGTAACGTAATATTTAATTTACTATTTATATCAATTAAATGCAAGCCATATAAAAGACAATTCTATACATAGTATAGTGACTTTTAACTATTGAACCTTAAACATTAATTCCTTGACAAATTTACAAAGATTATTATTTTGTGTCCTTCTCAGGATATGAAGCAACTGATTAATTAGCAACAAAAACATTATTTAAAACAATTTCATTGGAAATTAGGATAAGATAATATTTAATACTTTTTATTAATATGTATACTGTGAGAATAGAAAATATTTTATATCTAATTTTCTGTTTTCACAATAAAAGACAATATTTTTACAATATAATATATTTATAATATAATATCTTTATAATATAATATCTTTAGAATATAATGTCTTTAGAATATAATATGTATCTTTTTGCTGTATTAGAAAGAAGCTTGTTGTCGACGAAGAGGATGCTAGTGATACGGATATCGAAGATGTGGATATGGAAGCTGTGACAGACTCAGATGAGGAATATACAGAAGCTGAGAGAAAGTTGTTAGAAAAAGTACGGAAGAAACGTACCCCTGAAAATTTCGATAGTGATGATGAAGTTTATGGACTGCAAAATGACGATGAAGATGAAGAAGAAGAGGAAGAAGAAGAGGAAGAAGAAGAAAAGGAAGAAGAGGAAGATAATCTGCAAGATATGGAGTCTGATATTGAAGAATTACAAGAGAATGATGATATACCAAATGACAGAGCCTGGGGCAAAGAAGGAAGAAATTTCTATTCTTCAGATTACAAGTACACAGATTATTCGTCTGCAACTCAAAAAGATTTTGCTAATGCGGAGATGGAAGAGCAGGAAGCCAAGAAGCTTCACATAAGATCAGCCGATGACATTTTCGACACTATCGACGACAGATTCATGCAGATTACACAAGATAGCAAGGATGACAATCAGAAGGACAGTGAGCGAAATTTGGAGTTCAGTAAATCAGACAAGAAGCACCAACAGATGCTCACAAAAAGGGAATCCAAAGTATTTGCAGCTCTGGTCGCGGATTTTAAAGGTATCAAATATTATTCACTTATTGTCGATTATATAGTCTGGTAGATTATATTATAGTCTTATATAGTAGATTATATTAGTCTGGTCAATAAACCTGTCGATTCAATCAGTCACAAATTAAAACTTCTTTTTAATTTTAATACAGATATTAAGTGAATAATTGTGTTTATTATAGAACGCATAACAGAGGTGAAGGAAATCTTGGCACCCTTCCTCAAATTGGTCGAAAATGGCACGTTTCCTGAGTGCAACGCGGTGACTTACGTCAGAACTAAATACGACCTTGTTTTGAATTACTGCGTCAATATCGTCTTCTACCTGATGCTGAAGGCCAAAGGATTGCCAGCGCGAACGCATCCGGTTATTAAGCGTTTGGAACAGTATCGCCAGTTACTCTGTCAATTACAGTCAAGGGAAGGAAATCTGCTAAGAGAAGTGGCAGAAACAATGAAAGCAGTTAATGAAGGCAAGCCCCTTTACAGCGTATCACATGATCCTCGGAAATCATCCAAGAGGAAGACTTCGAGATTTGATATCTTAAGTAGAAAATTGACACATCGAATGGAGGAGACGGTGATGCGAGACGAGCAAGAATTATTGTCTGATAGTGCGAATAGTGCGGATATGGATAGTATAGAAGAGTCTATGGGCGAAGATGATTTCGACGCAAAGAGAAGATACGATGACAAAGATAAAGGGGATGAGGAGAAGAACATTGTCGATGAGGAGGAAAGAAAGAGAGCGATAACGTACAAAATAGCGAAGAACAAGGGTCTCACGCCTTATCGTAAGAAGGAGTTGCGCAATCCACGGGTGAAGCACAGAAACAAGTATCGCAAAGCCAAGATCCGTAGGAAGGGCGCGGTATGTGTTACGAGACAAGATGAAATCATATTTGTCGATACAACGACGCGAGCTTGGATGGTTTATATATATAAAATATTATTTCTTGCAGGTGAGAGAAGTGAGGAAAGAACTGACTCGTTATGCGGGAGAGATCTCGGGTATCAAGGCGGGTGTGAAGAAGGGCATTAAACTGAAATAAGGATCGTCGAGTCTTAACAGCGCAATAGCATTTACCTTATAATCAATAATTATATATATATATATATGCTTTTAAGATATGTATATTTAATTGTACAATTAAACATTGATATTTTATTAATTCTGCGTTGTATGTTTTATAAGCTTCGGGATAATCAAGTTATCGGGTGAAACATCACACAATTGGTACAGTAGACAAATGCTTTATTTTATCAGAGGATGTATGTACATGTGTTGAAATAATGGCGCTCCAACAGCAACAAATCCTTTTAACAAGTTCCTTCCGTCAGGTGTCTAACTTTAGTTATTCGATACGACTGCACACTCTGCTGTGTGTAAACTCGCGAGCTGTTGGAGGAACGGTTTGTAGCACTTACAAAACTTCAAGAACGTAACTTAGAGTCGAGTAACCTTAAGCTTCTACTTTGGCTAAAATATCCGACTCGCGGAACAGATGATACTCTTTGTTGTCCTCGAGCTCAACTTTGGTGCCGCCATATTCGGGAAGTAAAACAGTATCTCCGATTTTGACGCTCAAAGGCACGTGATCGCCTTTCTGATAGAAAAAAGAAAGATTGTTAACACAAGTCTTGTAAAAAAAATATATATATATTTTTTTTTTAAAGAAACATATTTTAGACACACAGAGAAATATTTGAGAGAATTTGAAAGGTGTAATATACACACATCATTCCTCGATCCAGGTCCTATCGCCACAACGGTACCTCGTAGTACCTTTGCTTGTGCTTTCTCTGGGAGTACAATGCCACCTTTCGTCTTGGTTATGGCCTCAGCCCTTTGTACGAGGACTCGGTCGAAAAGAGGAATAAGCCTCTTCACAGCGTTAGCAGCAGCCTGAAAGTACAGTTACGCAGGTAACGCGTTTGTAATTGCCCATAACCTTAATAAGAACTTTTATAATTTCAAATATTTAGATTGCTTCCTAGCAAGAGACACAAGTCTAGTTGTATCATATATTATCCTTTTTCTCTACCGAATACGAAATAAGGACAAACGATACAACTAGACTCGTGTCATGTTCATTCTCATGCTGGGAAGCAACCTTAGTCTCGTGTACGACTGTGACGATAGTTAAATTGAATCTTGACGACTCGTTCAATTACCATAATTACACGGTGATCTCTTCTACCATTACGCATTTATATAAAAGTCGTAAAACTGTAGAATTTCTCTAAAAAAAAAAAAAAAAAAAGTGAGAGATGACGCAATGATTGCCCGTGAAATTGCAAGCGACCGTACGATACCTGCAACTCCTGCATGTTCGATCACTTCGCTTTGCGACGTGTGAAAAGAATATTTCTTTTATTCACTACCGGTGAGAACGGCAGAGACGCAATCGCGATACGCACCGAGAATGCGGCTATCTCGAATACGAGTGCAAAAAAACAATTCTGTAAACAAATGCAAATCGCAGGCGAGCCGCCGAGGATCACGAGGACAATCGTGATGCGACGAGAAGCAACGATCCGTCTGCGACTCATGCAAAAGAATAGAAAACGCGAAATTACGGAGTATCGTCGCATGCAAATCGCTCGAAGGTTATCGAGACGCGTGAGTCGTCGCGAATTTTCTGAAATTCTCTCGAATCAACGCCGTTGCGTGCGGAAGCAAGCGGATAAACGGGCGTCTCACCATAATCGCGGTCTCTTCGTAGTCAGGAACGCGTGGAAACGCCGGTGAGAGAAAACAGCACGCTGAGGAACTCGTGCGCGCACAATTGTGCAACCTCGAGTCGCGGCCGGCCGGAACGGAGTGGAGCGCGCCGCGACTTTCTCGAAGCTTCCTCTACTCGCGTTCCGCCCCCTCCCTACCCTCCCCCCACCTCGACCGTAACGTATCGCTCATCGATCATTCCCCGTGGCTGCGAGCGAGATCGTTAGGCGTCCCGGAATTACGTAACATTCCACCGATTAAGCATTCCCGTAAAGCGAGGAGTCTTGAATGAGAATTCAAGGCGTAAGACTTAAGAAATTGCGACCAATCACAGTCGAATTATAGAAGAAAAAATTATGATTGGTCGATTTCTTAAGTCTTACGCCTTGAATTCTTATTGTATCGTCGCTGTTTGCGAATCAACGGTGATCACGCAGCGAAGCGGCCGGTTATGCAACGGCATTTGCCTCGAATTTGTCGGGCGTAGAAATCGCCGTTACCGGCGACATTTGTCCCACGATAAACATCAAAGCAAACAGTGTACGACGATCTTCGTCGCCGAGCGACAAGAATTCCACTTTTCATTCGACAGGCGGCATTCGCCGATTTGCCTCGCGATTCTCACACGTGTGATTTACGGGCGGGAGATAACGGGACGATAAAATAAAATAAACAAGGGCGAACGATAAGGGATCCCAGTTTCTCATTGTGCGCGTTCATCGCACGCTTAATGAAAAAAAGAATGCTTGTCCCGCGTGATGTTTCGGATTTCGTCGTCGTCATCGGGCGAAAATGATCCCTGCGACGACGAAGACGCGGCATTCAGGCGGTTAGAGGAAGTTCCTCTTCGCTAACGCTGATCGGCGACATCGAGAACGCGATGTTGCTGCGAATGTGAACCTCATTTGTTCCTCGATTCAGAGACGATAATACGATAATAAAAAATGCATGTGGTATCTGCAGTAACAGCGTGATTCTTGAGCACGCTGCGATGGTAGTAAAGAATATACCAAGAATACGCGAAGATGATTAAAGAGGCCCGGCTGATTGCGTCACGTTCGAAGATCGTACATTCTAGAATTTTCGCCACGCGGTGATTCGAACGCGTCGATGCGTCGATTTGCCGTCGCGGGCTCGATGCCCGTCGAACCCGCCGAACGAGAAAATCGCTCTCATTTCGGCGCTTTTCTTCTCCGTCATTCATCTCGCACACGATATTGCGTTAATCAAATATTTCATACTTTTCGTAGATTAATTCGTTGAGGTTAGGTTCGTTCGATCGGGCGAGGGGAGGGGGAAGAGAGGGGGGG